CCGAGCCACGTGGGGAGTGGACCAGCCCTCCGGCCAAGGCACCTCGGCCCAACGGGCCCCCGAGGACCTGGGGCATCCGCTTGCTGGGTGGGAGCCGGGGGGGGAGGCCTGGTCCGCCCGCAAGCCTCAGGAGGGGGTCCTGGGGTCCTGCTGGAGGCTCTCGAGTTCCTTCCACACCTCCTCGATCCTCTCCATGGAGAGCCCGTGGACGGTCACGGACTCCTGGTACGCCGAGAGGACATCCTTGGGGATGCCCCAGACGCGGAAGGCCCCGTCGTGCCGGTGGGGGATCCTGGCCGCCAGCGTCAGGAAGCCCAGGTAGACGTCGTCGAGGGGGAAGACGGGCAGCTCTAGGGAGGCCTGGTAGAGGGCGGCCAGCACCGGCCTGGACATGATGAACCCTCCTCCGGAGGCGAAGTTGGGGTAGTGGTTCTTCGGGTAGAAGTCCCGCGAGACGGCGTACTTGCCCCTCCGTATGACCGCTGCGTGGAACCGGATGTTGCCATGTATGAAGTGGGAGGCGTTGGGCGTCCGGTGGAGGTACTCGGTCAGGACCTTGGGGTTCACGAAAAGGTCGTCGTCCCCTAAAAGACAGCATGGCATTGACACCCATGGAGTTACAGGAGCCGCAGGTTGAAAAGGGCGGGACTTCTATCGCCAGGTGCATCCACCATCTTGACTTTCTGGACACCCGCCAGTGGATGCCCAGTAAAATCCCAACTTCTACAAGGGGGCCGTCCAGCCTTTCCCCCCAAGTGAAAGCCCGCCCTCCACCATAGAGCCATGGGTCCCACTGTTAGGGCTGAAAAACTCCTAATGGTTAGTGGGAATCTACCCTTCTGTGACCGAAATCCATTATTCTAAATCTTGCACTCTGACTTTCTGACGGCTTTCAGGTATTTGAAAAGGACAATCAGATTCCCCTCGTTCTTCTCTTCTCCGGGTTAAATGTACCCTCAGCTTCTCCATCTCTTTTTTGAGGACTTGGGGTCTAGCCCACCCCCCACCCCACCCCCATCATCCCTGCTGCCATCCTCTGCGTCTGTTCCAGTTTCTCTCAACTCCTCTTCGGCTGTGATGCCCAGAACGGGACGTGGCGTTTAAGCAGGGGCCTGACCACGGAAAAAGGGGTGCCAGGTGTGCGTTGGCTTTAGAAATGGCCGAGGAGCACAAGACATGGTGGCTGATGCACGCCGGATAATTGAGAAAGCTAAAGAATACCAAAAGGGAGACGAGATGTGCTTCGTTGATCATAGAAGGGCCTCTGATCGGGTCGATCGGGTCAAGCTGTGGAATGTGCTCAGAAAAATGGGAATCCCAGAACGTCTCATCGTATTAATGAGAAAAGTATATAAAGGTCGGGAAGCCACAGAAGATGGCAAAAAGACTGGCTCCAGGTTGGCAAAGGAGTGCGAGAAGGCTGCCTACGCTCCCCTCATTTATTCGACCTCTATGTTGAATACATATTAGGGGAGCTAGAGTGGAAGAAGATGAGTGGGGTTTTAAGGCTGGAGGAAGAAACAGCAATAGCCCGTACTATGCTGATGAGGCTGCCCTCGTGGCTGAAAATGCAAAGGATCTGCGAGCTCGAGTAATAAGAGTGAAGGAGCACAGTGAAGAATGGGGAAAAGATTAACTATGGCAAAGATCGAACTAACGGCAACAGGCACAACAACCAGCCTTAGAACTGACAGTGAAGGTATCAAAGTGGTAGAGAGCTTCTGCCTACTGTTGGTCAGTACCTATGGTACTGTTGATCAACCATCAACAATAAAGGAGCAAGCAGTCAAGAAACACGCCGCAGAGGAGCCCTTGACAGAGCAGCCATGAAGGCCTGGGAAAAGATATTCAAACGCTGTGATGTGTCTGTACCTGCAAAGATCAGAATTGTGCAAGCCATGGTATTTCCTGTGACCTTCTATGGAAGCAAAAGTTGAAGGAATAGCAGACTAGGAAGAGTGTTGACGCTTTTGAACTTTGGCATTGGAGGAAAGTCCTCATAAGACCGTGGACAGCCAAGAAAACAAACCGTGTTAAAGGCAACACCAACTTAAAGGCACGTAATCAATCAATCAATCAATCAATCAATCAATCAATCTAATCAAAACAAAATGAAGTGGAACAATTTCTCCTTGTGTTTGGAAATTCTACTTTGGTTGATTCAGGTACTATTTCTGAGCCAAATATTCTCCACCTGGCCAGCTGATGTTCCTAAGATAAGATATCTTATCTCTATTAATTTTCATATTGTTACTTTCAGCCCAGTTCTTCAACCTGCCAAGGTAGCTTGAAAACTATTTGTCCTCTAGTGTGTGAAGTATCCCACCCAATGTTATATTATTTGCAATTCCTTCCCTTCATCCATCCAACTCATTTGAAATGTAAATATTGAAAAGCCAAGAACCAGAACACCCCTTGAAGTGCCATGCCCTTCAGTTGACCATTCGAGCCGGGTCATTGGTGTCTCGAGTGAGAACTCTGGGTCGATTTGTTCGAGGATCCATCGGTTTGTCCGCAGCCGAGAGAGAGAAGGCTGCTACCCCAGAGGCTCCCGCTGGCTCTCCTTAAAGGCGTTGGCATCACACAAGGTGCCCAACCCAAGTTCCCCTTAAGAAGAACGCCCGCCCTTTCCCCCAGGTCTGCCCCTTCCCTGCGTTCCTTAACTCAGGTTTACGTTCACAGATGCTGACGCTGCAGTGATTTAATGTCCTTAGTCATCTGCGTTGCATTTGATCACAATTCCCCTCTAACCTGTTTCTTTAAGAGTAAGGTATTGTGCAAAAGTGTTGCAAGAAAAGTGTACCTTTTCCCTCTTTCTCTCTTGCGTATACGCTCAGTCAGCCCCTTTATCACATTCAAAGGAGGTATGACTGAGTAAACCCTTGCTGGGTTCAGACAACCCGTTAAGTCCCAAGGTGAACCCTAACCCAGCTCCACGGGTGGCGTGAAGGCGGGTTCTGGGTCCTCCTGCACTTAGCTGGGCGCAGAGAGCATGGACGGGCCCCGGCTGCGCAGCTCCTCGTCCGCCTACCTTTGAAGACGTAGGCCGCTCGCTGGCAGTGCTGGTGGACCCACCGAAGGAAGCAGCGCTCCTTGAGGGACAGGTTGTGGTGAGACTCTGCAAAATCCCACATCAGGATGTCG